ATTGTTTTCGTAAAAACCATTTTATGACTATTATTATTCAAAAAAGAAATAATAACAATAATATTAGTCTAATGAAATGTATGACTCAATGGTGTTTTAAGAAGAATATAATTTTTGATGCTTATATCCTTTTTATTCCTATAGGATTGACCCTTTCATTTAAAAGTTGTATTTTTCATTAACATGTTTTATTATAATTTATTATTAATAAAATGTCAGCAAAAAAATCAATAGGATAGTAAAATAAAACTAATAATTATTATACAAAGAAAAGTCATCAGGAGATTAAATGATGATTAAATCTGCTATTCCAATGATTTCTGATAAGGAGACACCTCCTTCCCCTCTTATGCCATTCAGCCCAACACCTCCTACTACTTATGATTCAGTCGTATTATCTCCACATCGATGTACAACTACAACTAATACCCCATTAGCAAAAAGTATTATTGATTTTACAACAATAAATAATAGTTATACTCAGAGTCGTTCTCCACCAACACCAACTCAACAATATGATGGAAGAAATACCTTTATTGGAGAAAATTTTAAAGCCAATGCAAAGAATGGATATTTAATTATAACTTATAACTATAACGAAAAAGAAAAACGTATTTCAATGATTAATATTAAAGATCTTACAAACGTGAATGGAAATTGGAAAATTATTTGTAAAGACTTTCAAGTTATTCCATTGGGGAGAGGAGATGGTATATATAATTGGGTTTTTGGAGGTCTTAGGAATTGGAACCTTAGAGGTCTTCTTGTATATCAAGAAAGTACTAGCGCTTATGACATTAGTGAATATTATATGCATTTAGGGTGTATTGAAGAGTGGTGTGTTCGAACATTTAATGAGGGTTATGAGATTTGTGATAGTTATCCAAGACAAATGATCTTACCAATCAAGGTTTCAAAAGAAGAAATTAAATTATCTGCTTCAAGAAGATATTATAATAGATTTCCTGCATTAGTATGGTATAATAATGAATATAAAAATGTGCTTATGAGAAATTCAGCAACAATTAAAGGATGTTATAACGATACACAAATACCGTTTGCTTTTACCAATAAGAAAAATTTAGTTATAATGGATTTTGTTGATAAAATAACTTCTTGTAAAATGTTATTACCAACTATGAAAATTAGAGAAATACCTTGTTTTGATAGAAAGACATTAATGAAATATTATCATCAATTTATAGAATATATTAATCAACCAGAAGTTATATTAAAACAAATAGATAATATAAAATGGATGTCTACCATTTCTTTAATGTTAAAACAAGCGTCTTTAATTTATGAATATATGAAAAATGGAACTTCTGTTTCAATAAATTGTATTGATGGAACTGGAATATGTTCAATATTATCATCTTTATGTTGTATATTATGTGATGATTATTTTAGAACTATTAAAGGGTTTATTGCATTGATTGAAAAAGAATGGGTTTTAATGGGATATCCATTTGCTCAATATCTTGGGATAGATAATGATTATTTCTCTAATGAGCCAGTTGAATTTATTTTATTTATTCATTGTGTGGAAGCTATTATACGTCAAAATCCAACCGCCTTAGAAATCACAGAGGATTTAATCATTTTTATTTTAGATGAATTATATAAAGGGAAATGTAATACATTTCTTTTTAATTCTGAGAAAGAAAGAAGAAGAGAATGTGTTGATGGAAAGACATTATCATTATATGATTTAATCATTCAAGAATTGAAATTATCAAAATTTAAAAATTATAACTTTGATGTAACATCTTCAGTCTCCATCTCAGAAAATTTATTAACAATCCCATTATGGACAAAATATTATTTACGGTATTCATTTCCCAAGATTGCTGAGTTGAATTTGTGTTAATTAAAACGTTTGTTTATTTCAGAGTTTTTGAACAAGTACTAAATGAGAATTTCCGTTTGTTTGAATAAAAACATTTTCTAAATTTGTAAATAGAACTTAAAAGAATATTAAAGAAAGAACTAAGAAATTAACGAGATAAATATAGAAAAACAAAAAAGGGATTTACTAATATAAAAGAATTAAAGAAAAGTTTTTTATGAGAAAAAATGAAAAATGTGGTTATTCTATTGTACAAGTAAAAGAACCCAAAGAAATCGGGAAAAGAAACAAAAAGATTAGAATAAAAAAAGATTAGAGATGAAAGATAAGACTATTTGATTGATGTGTGAGAGAATCAATGCAGCTGGAAAAGAATTAAAAGAACTCCCTAAACCAAAGGAATTAACAATGTTAAAATCAATCAATGTTACAAATAATTGTATCAGTCATATTAATGAAATTAATGAATATAAAAACTTAGAACATCTCCTTCTTCGGAAAAATAATATTGAACAAATTCCAGCATTATCAATTCCTTTACAAGTTATTGACATATCATTAAATCCAATTAAATCAATTAAACCTTTATTATTAGTTTCTTCAATTAAAGAATTAACTATTTCTCAATGTCATTTTCTTGACATGAATTTTAATTTATCAACATTAGAATATCTTACAAAATTTGTTTGTATGTCAAATAAATTAGTTGAAATTGAATTTCTTAGAAATTGTTGTCATTTACAAAATGTTTGTTATATTAATTTTATAAATTCTTTTTTATTAATATTTAGTTGGATTTAAGTAATAATTTATTAACTTGTGTTCCAGAATGTCTATCAACATGTACATCTTTAACTTCATTAAATTTAAGAGACAATAATATTTCAAAAGGACTTCATTATTTAAATACATTAAAATTATTAGCTGAAATTAATGTTTCATGGAATAATATTACTGAATTAAAGAAATCATTTTATAATATTATTTCATTAACTTCAATTAAACTTAGTAATAATAAAATAAGAAGAATACATAAAAATATTGGATTTATGACAAATTTAGTAGAATTATATATTCACAGTAATCCTCAACTTCATTCTGTTCATTCTGAAATTTCTAAATTAACACTATTAACTCTTTTAAATCTAGATAATTGTCCAAATATTATCGAATTACCTACTTTAAGTAATTTAACTTCATTAGTTAATGTCTCTATGAAACACTGTTCATTGACTCAAACTCCTCTTCTACCTTTATCATGTGATTTTCATTTAGAAAACAACAACCTAACAGTATTAAATTTAGATATTTCTAAATCTACTTCTCTTCAAATTCAATTTAATAAATTAACATCAATTCCATCTTTAAATGGATCATTAATAAATAGACTAATACTTTGTGATAATAAAATTAGACATTTAAATCTTATTGGTGCAAATTTATTATCTTTGAATATTTCTTTTAATCCAATTCTTACATTACCAACTGAAATTTCTTCATTAACTAAGTTACGTCAATTATGTTGTAGTGGTTGTGGAATACGAGAAATACCTGATAACTTATTAAATAACTTTAAAAATTTAGAACAATTTGAATGTTCATTCAACCCAATTTCTACAATTATATTCTTACCTTTAGTTAATCTTCAATCTTTTGTTATGCAATTTTGTCATCTAACTCAACTACCATTCTCATTAGAACAAGCTTCAAAATTAAGAATGTTAGATGTTTCTAACAATCAACTATCTGTTTTAACATCAAAAAAATCTTTTGTTGAAACAATGAGTCAATTAACTTTATTAGACTGTTCTCATAATCAATTAAAGAGTATTGGTGACTTTTCTAAAGTAAGTTCATTAGTTGAATTAAATGTAAGTTATAATCCTATTGTCAAAATAGAAAAATTAATGGAGAAAGTTAGTAAATTACCAAAACTTACTAATCTATATTGTCATGGCATTTCTCTTAGACGGGGATATTCTTTTAAAGGAAATGATGACCTTTGTATTTCCATTAATAAAAAAGGAAGTTTAAAAGGAATTCCAATTGAGATGGTATTTAAAGAAAAAGGAATTGAAAATACTCTTAAACGGTATGAAACTTTTGGTTATGATAATATTTGTAATCAAAAGTTTTGTAATGGAATTGGATCATATGAATATTGTGGAAGAAGAATATCTATGCAAGACTCTATTTTAGTTGGAAACAACTTTTTTGGAGACGCAAGTAGTTTATTTGGGATTTTTGATGGACATGGTGGGGATTATGGAAGTTGCTTCATCTCAAAAGAAATTCAAAAATCACTTGAAAAGTTACGAGGAAGAGCTTTAACTAAAGAAGTCTTTGAAAATGAGATCATTTCAGCTATCCAAAACATTAATACATTAATGGAACAAAATAATATGACTGATGGAGCTACTTCTGTAATTGTTGCCTCAACAAAAACACATTATTTAATTGCCAATATTGGAGATTCAAGAGCAATTATTATTAGAAGAACAGAGACTAGTCCAATACCAATGAAGGATATAGACGATGAAACCCAACAAACGTTACGACCAAAATCTCCTTCTAAACTAGTCCTACCAAAAAAAACATTAAAAGGTAAATTGGGATGGAGTGGTGCTGGTTCATCTAAAACAACAAACCAAATAGAAGTTAATTTTGATTATATAGGAGGAGGTAGAATTGAAGTTGAAGCATTAACACATGACCATAAACCTAGTTATCAAGAAGACCGTCAAAGAATTAGAGAAAGTGGAAATTATATAAGTGACCAAGAAAAAGTTAATGGATATATTTCTGTTACAAGGGCTATAGGAGATGTTAAATGTAAGGCATTTGTTTCTTGTATCCCTGAGTTTTCTGAAGTAGCAAGAAGAAGTAGTGACTGTTTTGTTATTTGCGCTTGTGATGGAGTATGGGATGTTTTCAGTAATGAAGAAATTGGAAATTTAGTTATGGCTAATGAACAAATGAATTGTACAGAATTAGCTAAACTTATTGTCGATATTGCTTATTGTAGGTTATCAAGTGATAACATTTCTTGCATTGTATTTAATTGCCAAGACTCTTTTTAATATTAGTTGAATAAAAAAAACACAATTATGTAAACAATTACTTATTTTCTAATTCTGTTATTATTTCAATATTATTTTTTATTCATAGTGTCTTGATCTTCTTGATTCGTTGGAGTTGGTTCTTTTTCTATTTCTTGTGTATCTATATTAACAATAATTTCTTTATGTTGTTGATCTTTCATTTCAACACCCTCTTCATCTTTTGGTAATTGACTATAATCATGTTCATCTGGTTTAGGTTCATTAATACTCTTTGGTAAAAACCATGACAAGACAAATACAAGTAGAGCAATTAATGAAACTACAAAGAATGCAAAATGGATGTTAAATGGGAATTTTTGATTCAAAGTCCATGCAACTAATGGAGATGATACTAATGGACCGATTAATCTTAAAAATGCGAGTAAACTTTGAGAAAGACCAAACAAAGATCCCATTAAATTCTTCGTGACACTATTACCAACTAATACTTGATTAGTAGACAATGCAAACTGCATAACTGTTTGTAAAGATGCACTATAAAATCCAAATATAATCCATAGTAATAATGTCCCATATGGATAAAGATAATGAATACAAGGTGGAACATTATACATAAAAAATAAACCTGAAGACCCAAGTCTATTTGTCCATAATGGTTTTAATAGATTGACAACAGGTTTATAAATAAATAATTGAGTGATAATAATTCCAACAGCTGAGATTAAAAGGAAAGTTCCAATCTCTGCTGTTTCCCAACCAAAACCTCCAACATCTACAGATGCCATCATCAATAATGGAATCATTCCCCAAACCATACCACAAGAGCATTGAAGAATTGCATTCATAACACAAGTTAAAATACCAATATATTCTTTAGAGAAACACATTTTAATCATATCTTTAATTCTAACAAGAACCTTTGTTATAATAATTTTAATAACAACATACCACTTACAATTCATCTTCTCAATAGTCCTTGGTTCTTGTAAGAAAATAACTGATAAAATAAAGGCAATGAATGTTAATGAAACACAGACTATATTAGGAAGAATATATGGAAATGTATGGAAAAATTGAACACCTCCAAAAACAGACGGATATTGAATTGCAGGACGGCAAAGATAAGCACCAATAGTAGATCCTACAATCATTCCACACCCATTCATTAATCCAATTAACCCAAAGACTTGAGTTCGATTTTCTTTTGTTGAAAGGTCTCCCATAAAAGCATTAATTACACCTAAATTACCATTAACCAATCCTAATAAAAGTCTAGAAACAACTGCCCAAGGATAATTAAATGAAAATCCTAAAGACAACGTACATACAATAGACCCTAAACATCCAAATAATAATAAAGGTCTTCTACCTAATGTGTCAGACATAATACCAAGAATAAATGATGATAAAAACTGCCCAACATAGAAACTTGAATCAAAAATTCCACTATAAAATCCTGCTTGGTTTTTAGTATCTACTACATGAAAGTCTACTACAAGAAATCCAGCATATGATGTTATAGAATTTTTATTCATACTTTCAAGGAACGATAATAACAACAATGGAATTAACTTTTTTTTAGGGAAACCTTTTGGTAATACATGGAGTAATGGAGAGAAAATATTTTGTAAAATTAACTTAACTTTTGACATTAATGAATGAATAGTTAAACAGTTTTATTTGTTCAAAGATAATCTCTCTATTATCTTATCTTCTATTCATTTTTCGAATATTTTTTTCTTATTTTCTTCTTATTTTTTTTTGAAGTAATTCATAGAAATAATTTGTATGATAAAAAACGTTATTAGTTGATAAAAATATCAACTTGAATAGATAGACTATCATCTCTAATTCAAGAACTAAATAATTATCAAGAAATAAAAAATGAAACAGTTAATACCTCTTGCTATTTTATGTTGTATAATATCATTTTTTGACACCTATGAATTTAGAAATCAAGAATGTTTCAGAAGATCATTTGATATTTTTATTAATGATCAGTTTGTTACTCAGTGTGGATGGGGAATGGTTGGTTTATTTGAAGTTATTCTTGACGTCATAATTTTTGTTTCCATACTTTTTGACTATTTCCCCTTTTTTAGACGGTTATTATCATTACTTTTATTATCCCAAGTCTTCATAAAATTTTATATTATTATCGCCGTTAATCAAAAAAAAAATTTTGTTATTATATATTTCATTCTTGGCTCTTTACTTCATTTTCTTTATGCAGTTTCCTCTTTACTTTATTCAAAACCTTCTAAACAAGAAGAGAAATTAGAACTACGGTTTTCAAATGTCAGAATCCCGGGAAGTAGTAAAAGTAAACCAAAAACTATTACCCCAAAACCTGAATGTAATAAGACTAAGACAATCAAAATTTCTACTCATGCTAAAGAAAGTATTTCTGCACTTGCCAAACAAATTGAACAACTCAACAAAGAAGCTGATGAAAAACATCGTTTAAAAAATCGCAATATATCTCAATCTGAAGTTATTGTGAACCCCCAACAACAAGAAAAGAAACAACTCCCTGTTAATCAAAAGGAACAAATTGAAGAATTACTAAATGAAGAAACGACATTGATTAATGTTCCTAAAAGAAGAATTACAAAGAAAAAGGTTCATCAAGCTACAAAAGTTATTGGGGACGTTAAAACACAAAACGAAACACAAGAAAAGAAAAAAGTAATCAGTTTGGAAAGTAATAAAACAAAAATTTCACTTAATGAAGTTCTTCAAGCTAAGAGTCATTTAAAGCCAACAAAAAAATAATTATAATACTTAATGTTAGTATTTAATTTGGTTTAACCTATAAAAGAAAAATAGATCTTAAAAATTTAAGAGAAACATCATTAGATGTTAAAAATTATTGAATCACGAATTAAAAAAGCTAAAAAAGTAAAAGAGTTTAAAGAGTTTCAAAGAGTAACAGAATTAAATGATTCTATTCATGAAGAACTTGATTTCCATGAAACGGTTAGGAAGATGAGAGTAGATTTAATAATTATAATTGTGGAAATGGCTTTATTGGAAAAAGATCAGATTGAGAGTTTAAGAGAAAAAATAAATCTTGTTTATGATGAAAGACCTAAAGATTTAACGATGAGGATTTTATTTTATAATTATAATGAAATTCAAGAATTAACAGGAGATGATTTGACAAATGTATTACAAGACGAAAATAAGTTTCAGACGTTTTACAACCTTTCAATGATTAAAAAAAAACATTATCAATTAGAAATTGGTTTTGTTTATAAAAAAGTTAAAGAGATAAAAACAACTGTTAAATCAAAAATTGGTTTAATTCACTTCTGTTATTCAAATTCAGTATGTGAACAACCTCATCAAATGTTGAATGATCAATATGATTATTATTGTTTAATGTTTAATGATATACAACATCCATATCGTTCAATTCCTTTTGTAAAAAATTTCTTTGCTTCTCCTCCATTTTTAAATTCAATGTTTTCACGTTGTTTTTCAGATGAATGTTATTCGAGGTATTGTCATTTCAATAATGGGAATTATGAATGGTTGACAACCAAAAAAAAACCAAAGTTTAAAGAATGTGAATGTCATCATGGGATTTTTGTTGATCTTCAACAAAATGAAACAGAATGTCCAGAATTTGGGATTTGTTATTCCGGAGAAATTAATATAGCAGATTTTCCTTTTGGAGTTGGTGCTGTGAGAGTTGCTTTTCATGGATTTGATATGGATAAGAATGAAATTATCATCAAACAATTTAAAACCAAAAATATGATGGGATTTGAGAGTTATGTTGATACGGTTGCTATGCATCTTCAATGTCAGTATATTAGTCGTTTATTTGAGTCTTATATCAGTTTATTGAAAGAAGGAAAAACAAATGAAGAAATTACAATGTTGGATATTCGTGCAAGAAAAGAAGAACTCGAGTCAAATAAAACTAGAACAACAGAAAATGAAGAAAAAGAAAGAAATGAACTTGACTCTATTAAGAAAGTTACTTTTATTCCTTTAAGATTATTTATTGAAACTCCAAGAACGTCTTCACTTAGAAGACAATTCTTTGATTCAAAAAAAATTAGTGTGAATGAAATTGAAAGAATGGCAGTAGGCAAAACAATATGGTTTATTGAACAACCATTAGTTGGAAGTTTTGAAAAGTACAATTCAAATAACTCAAGTGTTAATTATTGTAACTATAGTTATACTATGCAGTGTTTCTCTCATTTTTCTTACTTTATTTCATCACAGTCTTTCATTATCACTGACCTTCAAGGTGTATTTCGTAAAGAAGATAATCTATATGAACTAACAGACCCAGCAATTCATCATCAATTTTTGTCTCATTATTTCTTTGCATTTACTAATCTTGGAAACACAGGAATAAACCAATTTTTTATAACTCACAAATGTAATAAGTATTGTACTGCATTACAATTACCTCCTCATCCTTTCCAACCATCTGAGCTTTATAAATAATTTATTCTTCTAAATTTGTTTTATTTTATTACTAACACTAATAACGTGTCACCACATAACACCAACAGTAATGTTAAAAAAGTTACAAAGAATAAATTTGAAATAGATAAAATATTAGACAACTCACCCTTTTTTTTCTCAAAAATAAAAAGAAAAAAACTTAATAAAAAGGTTAAAAAGTGGAAGTATGTCTGAATTAAGCTCAAGCTCTGGTTCTATTGATGAACAAGGAAATGAAAAATATTATGGGTTTAGATTTGATACTATCAAAGCTTTAAATGAAGTTTTTGAAAGTGCTGTAGAAGAGCCAAAGATTGATGAAGATGGTTTTCCATTGATTGAAGAAGATTGGGAATTATCTCAATTTTGGTATGACAAAGCAACTGGGGATAGGGTGATTGATTATATTGCTAATTATGTTAATTCTATAGAAAATTGTAAAGTAGCATGTGTATCAACACCTTCAATTTATCGTGCTTATATTAGAAACAAAGAAAAAGTTCCTAATGCTGAATTTGTATTATTTGAATATGATACTCGTTTTCAAGTATTTGGAATTAATTTTTCATTTTATGATTATAAGAAACCAACAATGCTAAAAGAAGAATATCACCATCAATTTGATTTAATCATTGTAGATCCTCCATTCTTATCTGATGAATGTGATGAAAAAGTTTCTCATACTGTTGAATTTTTAGGTAAACCAAAAAATTACCAATTAGTCTTCTTAACTGGTAAATTGGCTGAACCTTATTTGATGAAATATTTCCCAGGTATTTCTTTAACTGATGTTAGAGTAGAACATGAACATCAACTTCAAAATTCTTTTGGATGTTTTTCAACAAAAGATCCATTAATTTAATTAATTATTAACTTTTCTTTTATTAAAATTAGTAATAAATCAATATCTCATAAAAATAATTATTTATATACAAAAGGATTTACAACAAATCAATTACTTATTGTGAGATAATCATTAAATGAAATATGAAACAATTTCATTATTACCTTGTTTATTTTCACCAAACTGTTCATTCCAATTTCTAATTTCAGTCAAAAATGGGGAATCTTTGTTAGTACTAGGATTCATTGTACTAAGTACTTCAAAGAAGTCATTGTCATTCATAGCACGGATTTGTTCTTTAGCAACTTCTATAGTTGGATTAACAAATTCTTCCACTTTAACAAATGGAGAAGGGTTTATTCCTTTAGATTCCATTTCTTTTTGTTCTTTCTTTAATTGTTCTATTCGTTCTTTCTCTTTATTTTCCTTTGCAATATAATCTCGAATTGGTCTCATAGCAGCTGCACAACATAAATTAAACAAATCACAACCAGAATATCCTGGTGTTTTTTCAGCTATTTTACTAATATCACAGTCTATTTTCTCTCCTTTTAATATAATCTTTAATATATTTTCACGGTCTTCTTTTGTTGGAAGATCAACAAGAATTCTTCTACTGAATCTTCGTAAGATAGCATCATCTAAATCAAATGGCCTATTTGTTGCTCCAAGTACAATAATTTGTTCAAGGTTCTGTGATTTTAAACCATCCCATAATGTCATAAATTCGTTTTTCATCTTTCTCAATGTTTCATTTTCATTTTGTGATGTTCTTTTACCTAATAATGCGTCAACTTCATCAATAAAAATAACACATGGTGATAACTTAGCTGCTAATGAAAATAATGCTTTAACAAATTTTTCAGCTTCTCCAAACCACTTTGATTCGAGTGATGATAATGATGCATTAATAAAATTGGCTTTACTTTCTTTAGCAACAGCTTTGGCTAACATAGTTTTACCAGTTCCTGGTGGACCAAAGAAAAGAATTCCTTTACTACGTTTAGTAAGAGACCCTTTCTTAAAGAGTTCTGGTCTTAATAATGGTAATGTAATAGATTCATACAATGTTTCTTTAACTTTTTCTAATGCCCCAATATCACTGAAAGAAACATCAACATCTCCTGCACGGATAACGTCATTCATTAATTTCTTTTCAAATTCATTTTCTGCTTCTAATGTATCAACTACATCTTTTACTGGATTTAATTGCATTTGCATAGCAATAGCATGCATAATAGATTCTTTAGAAATTGTTCGAATATTTTTATCTGGTCTTTTTTCTATTTCATGGGCAAATGCCCAACCTACAATCTTTTCAACATCTTCTTCTTTTAAATCTAGTTGTAGTTCGGAGTCATCAATTTTTTCCATTTCAAGACCATGTTTTAATAACTCATTCTTGATTGATCGTTTAGAAATAGAGGCAGACATTTGTTTAGCATCCTCTTGCATCATAATCCACCATGAACGAGCTTCTTCTCCAGTTGGTGTTTGAATAGTAATTGAATTACCAAACATCTTTTGTAACGTTTTAAAAATACTTCTTCCATGTTGTTGTCCTTTAATTCCATAAGCATCTACCATTTTAATTTCCTTCTCACTGAACATACAAATACCTTGATCTACTTGTGCAATTTGTTTTGAATGAGATGATTTAGGAGGTGGTGCATTAGCATTACATCCAACAAGAATACCTTCATTACGTTTTTTAAAGTCATTAATAAATGTTCTAATTTCTGTAGAAACATCATGTTTCAATTGCATAATAACATCTACTTTTTGTAATACAACAATTAATTGAGGATATATTTTTAATATTTCAGGTAATCTTCCTATTAATCTTCTGTCTTGGTTAGGGACTTCTTCATCTACTCCACCTAACATATCAATTTCTACAAACGCTCCACTATGTCCGTTTGGTGTATTTTCAAAATTTACAGCAACTTTACCATTTGCAACAAATAACACAGTTCCAATCTTTCCTAATTGTTCTTCATCAGAATATTTTCCTTTTCCAATATATTTAACACGATCACCATATTGGAAATTTTTTATACACTCTTGTTCAACACCATCTACTGCTCCAAGCAATGTACAATCAATTTCTAAAAGAGGAACATTCACCTCATTTGCTATTCTTTTTAATAACCTACTAACAAATAACTCTGTACCATTTGGCGTTGTTAATAATAAAGTTCTACTTAATGATGGAATACGAGAATAAATTGCTTCTTCTGGTGTAGAAGAAAGACAAAACTCAAATTCAGAACGAAGTTGTTGTTGAATATTTTCTGGAATAAATTGCCAAATTTGTTCTGTTTGATCAGTTTGTGTTTGATTTGGTTTATATATAAGACGTTCTGAAAGTTCAGCAATACTTGGTGTTTGAATTGGTCTAATAGTTTTTGTTTGAAACCGTTTATTTGTTTGTCTAGGTTGTTCTGCTAAAACATCTTCTCTCATTGGATGTAATGTTGTTGTACCATCACAATAATGAAATTTAAATAAATAAGTTTCACTGAAGTAAAAACCTATTTCATTTCCATCTTCTAAAATAACTTTTTCTCGGTCTCTTCCTTTTCTAATTGGTTTCTGGTTAACATATACACAACCAAGTTGTGATATTACTTCTAAATATCCTTTTTTTCTATCCTCATCATACAAAAAATTACATTCAACACCTACAGTTAACCCACTATTCTTTGAAAATGAATATACCTTACTATTTAATTCTACAGTTGGATATTTACAATTATCATTTAATGGAACTAATTCTCCCCATTTTTTATTCTCCTCTTTGCCTCTTCTCTTATTTGATCGTTGGTCTTCTATAAGAGGGTGTTTTCCTTCAATGTTATACCTATTCATCTTTTTCTGTTATGTATGAGTTTTTTAGTTTCTTTTCATTTTTTCTGGTTTAGGAATTATCTAAAAACTGTTTTATATAACTATTATCTAAATGTATCTATTTATTTTTTTTTTTTAATTTTCTGTACTTTCCAAGAAGTTAGAACTTTTCTACAACTTAACTGAAACGAAAGATTCTTTTTTGTGATAAAATAAAAGTAGAATTTTCCTACTTATCAATTAAATCCCGAAGATTGAAATGAAAATTAGGTGCAAAGGGTTATTGTTCTGTTAATTTCACAGTTTCATTATATCAATGTATTTGAGGTAGCAATTTGATTATTTTTAAACCCTTGTGTCTCAAATATATAACTCAGATAACAAGTTTTATGCAGACTGAATACCTTATTTTCAACTCTGTAAGTACTTACAACCGAATTAAACAATCATTTTATGATAAAATTCATATTAAACAACATTTTCTTGACTCACAAAAAAACAAAAACATTACTTGTAATTCCACTATTGAATCATCAGATAGTGAAGAGTCTGAAACTCCATCAAAGCCAATGTCTATTGAGCAAAATGATGTTTGTTTTTTTTTTTGGTTTTTAAATAATATAGAAATTTAATCAATGGAATAGCATGACTCAATAGATGATGTTCTTGCAATTATGCTTGGAGGTTGCCATGAATTAGCTTCTTCCCCACATGATTAAAACAACTAAGGATGTTGTTAGTCTATATCTTAAGTAAATAGTTTTCTGTTTTTCTTCTATGCTTCAAAATATTTTTAATTACAAAATTTTATATGAAAGAACAACTATTTTCTTTTGTTTGTTTTTTACGCTTCTAATAAATAAGAAATAACTTAATACTTAATTCTAATTCAGAAAAAACGTATGATGAAAATAACTAATTTTCAATAAAATATACTTTTTCTACAAATAAGACTTAAGAATTTTCTTCCTGTAGTTTAATTAAAAAAAAAATTAAGAACTTCTAAATACATAGACTTCCAAAAATCATGTCATCAATTCATTGTATTATTTTTATAATATTTATTACAACTACTTTGAGTAATTATTGCCAAGCACCACTTCCCAAGGTTGTTTCAGTTCCTAAAGGATACAATTTAATATTTGTACAAACATTAACTAGACATGGTGATAGAAGTCCTATGAACTCATTTGATCAAGATGATGCATTTTATAATTGTAGTGGAATAACATTATCTAGTGTAAGAGAAAGTGATTCAATAGGGAAAGCTGGTGATACAATAAGGATAAATGTTATTGATAAAAATACTAATCCATATGCTAAAAACTTTATGTGGAAAGGAAATTGTGAAGCTTCTCAGTTAACTGTTAAAGGAATAAGACAACACCACAATTTAGGAATATATCAACGAAAAAAATACTTGGATATGGGATTTCTTCCTGTTGAATATGACCCTAGAAAAATTTATATTAGAAGTACTGAACGTAGTAGAACTATTCAATCATCTCAAGCCTTTAGTCAAACATTTTATCCACCAGAAACAAGATTACAAGAAAAAATAATTCCAATATATGTTGTTCCAAAAGATATTGAAATAATGTTTCCTAATAGGGATCTTTGCAGTGAAATTAGTAAAAGAGAAAAAGATACCTATAAAATTGCTCTTGTTAATCAAACTCGTTTGTCAATTCAACATTTTGAAGAAAAAGCAATTAAAATACTTGGATTTAAATCAAAACATGAATGGTTAGAAGATTATGTTGATATTATGAATTGTAGAATATGTCACAATATCTCCTTACCATGTAGAAATGGAGAGTGTTTAACCATTGAGGATTATAACCAATTATGGTACCAAACTCAATTAGAAAATAGATATTTATTTAGAACTGATGGATTAGCTCAATTACAAATTGGGTTATTCCTTAAAGAACTAATTGATAGGGCAGAGATGGCATTAAATGGTACAAGTAGTTATGTCTATGAACATTATACTGGTCATGATTCAACATTACTGCCATACCTTGCATTAATTGGACAAGATGTATTCACATGGCCACCATATGCCAGTCACATTGATATTGAAATTTATTCATTTGAAAGAGAAAGATATATAAGGGTAGTATATAATAATGAAGTCGTATCATTACCAATATGCCATCAAGTAGATGGTTTTTGTAAATGGGAAGAATATAAAGATTATTTGTTAAAGAATGGAGTGGTGTCACTGAATGAATGTAAACCTAAATAATGAATAATTTAGTAGTTTATTTAACCTGTTACGATGGTTCATAGAAAAATGTATCAACAAAAAAAAATTAGAAGTGAGGAGTTTTTGGTGGTGAAATAATATCATTTGTTAAGTCTGGAGTTATTGGATTAGGACCATTCATTGAACCACCCCTAATCCGTTTATCCATTGCATGAGAAGAGTTAGACCTCTTCTTTTTTAAGAATTCTTTGAGTTTAGAAAGATCTTCAGAAGGAAGACCAATCATTGCCAATTCTTCATCATCCATACTAAATAAATCATCTTGACTAATATATCCGAAACAAATAAATACTTCGGCATACTGTTCCAAGCCAAGAGGAGTTAATAGTTTTTTCATTACCTCAATTGGACTATCATTATATTTATTTGGTTTCATTTTCTCAAGTTCAGCTCCATTAAATAATAATGAAAATTCAGGGAATAATTTTACAATAAAACTACTTAATGTTTCACTATATTCATTATAATATGATGATTCAATATCATCACTAGCTTCAGGAATACATATAAAGTCTTGTGCATTTTTAATAATAGACTGTAATTTTTTCATTCCACCAGCAAATCTATCTTGTTGTCCATAAATTGCAAACACTGGTATTTTTACCATTTTAATCATTTTAGCATTTTCAAATATTCCTTTACCAAATGTAGATGGATCCATCTTAGGACTTATCATTATTACTCCAGCTGCAATTGTTTCATTTTTCTTAGTTTTTTTTTTACTTGCTAACATTAAAGATACAGCTGCACCAACTCCTTTTCCACATAAAATTAATCTACTAGTTGGTTTATGTAAAATAGAAGTAATATATGAATACACATATTCTGCATTTGCTGCTAATAATTCATCTGAATAAGGTTGGTCAAATAATCCATAACTTGGATATTCAAATGCTAATATGTTACAATGCATTGTTTCTGTTAATAGTTCTAATGATGAGGTTATTAATCCTAAATCTTCTCCACAATCATGCATATACATAATTGTTACTGGTTCAATAGAAGTACTTGATTTCATTGAACATTTAAACCATAAAGCAGGTATATCTTTTTTAACATTTCCTGTTTTAATATAAATTAAATGAGGTAATGCTTTAGTATAACTACAAGGTGGTTTTTGTGACATTGCCACATTAAAGGCTCTTCCAAATACTACGTCTGAAATATGATGAACTCTCATTCTAGGAGAAGTTAATTGATTTGATGGTGATAACATTGTTGCACTTTTTTCTACTTGTTGTTTAGCTTCACGTAACATTGAATTAAACTTTTCAGGTAATCGAGTTGTTGAATATTCATTATGAAACTTTTTAATAACTTCTAATTGAATTGGAAAAATATCTACTTGTAAAGTATCACCATCACTAGCATACATTGAAATAGAATCATTCCAATTAGGAATAACACGAATACTTGGGATATGACAAAATGTTCCTTCTTGTCTAATTGGAGGTTGAACTTTTTCAATAATAGAACTAAACTCAGAGTATAAAGAATAAATTCCTTGTGATTTGCTATTTTCTGTTGAAGAATGGTAAGTGTGTTCAATCACACAATATCCCATTTTTTTCTCTCTTTTTAGATTCTTCTTTTTTTTTCTGTTATTTTGATTTTTCTTTTTGTTCATAGAGTTGTTCTTTTTGCTTTTTATTTTTTTTCTTTTTTCTAGCTTTTTATAATTATTTTTACTATTTTTATTTATTATTTTTAATAAAGATCTCTAAATACTTTTTAAAAAGTTACTAACGAAATAAAAAAACAAAAGTTATTTATAGAATTTCACAAAACAATAAAGAATTTTAAAGATTTTCGACAATACACTAAAAAATATTACAATTTCTTTTCTTATTTGCAATAAGAATTGATTTTTTTATTATTTTTCTAAAAATTAATCTTGTCGGGATTGTTTTCAATAGTTTCGTCAGAAGTATAATCATAATCATCCTCACAATCATACTGAAAAGAAAAGTTTTCTTCTGTTGGAGTAGAATGATGAAATGTATTAATTGATTTAATTTTAGTAATTGTACAATCATTGTCAATGCTTTTTCTTTCTGATTGAGTACTATCACTTAAGTTTTGTTTATTTTCAATATTATTATTAAATGTACAATCAGTATTATCAATATCATCAACGTCAATAATGCTAGGATAACTATCAACGTCTATAACATCATTTGTTGAAAGTAACTCATTTTTATTTTTGTCTTTATAATTTACACACCCATTAATAATTTCAACAAACTCAGCACTTGGAGGTGCTTTTTGAATTATTTCTTGAAGTCTAATATTTAATTCAACATCTTCCCAATAACAAACTTGCTTACAAAAACAACAAATCCAAGGTTTATGTTTCCAACTAGTAATTAAACTTATTGCATCCATATAGAAATTATGACTACAATGTTTTCCTTTTACTGGATTATTCATTCTACATTTAGAGAATGGACAATTTAATGAAATAACAACTCTATCCTCTAATTCCATTTCACCATCATTAATAATATCACCTACAAGTTTATCAGTATAACGATGTTCTTTATTAATTTCATTAATTAATCTATCTGTTATTACAGATGGATTTTCTTGATTACAAGTAAAAATAACAATAGTTTCATTTGACTTGATTTTATATATTCCATTTTTAATTGGATAAGGAATAACTTTATATTTTGTTTTTTCATTGTATTGTTCAAATAAATAATCAGTTTTATCTATTGTTACATATGCTGATACATCAATTCCAGAATTGTTAATTACTCTTATAAAAGCATTTTGACGTATATTGACTGTTTCAAAATTTTGTTTTGGTTGAATGATGTAAAGTACTTTTGAGAGTGTATAATATGAAAGTAATGTTTCTTTAAACATAACTGGTAATTGATCAACTAAACTCATAATAATTGGATGATGTATTTCAGGTAATTTAGGTTTAATAGGAATTACTTGATTTGGTTCTGAAACAGATGTTACATAACTTTTTGAAGGCAATATTTCTTGATTTGGAAGAAGGTCTAAATCATGTTCTAAAGAATTAGAAGATACAGTCTTTTTTATAGGAATAAAAACTGTTAAAGAAGAACGTGTTGAAGAAGTACGTTTTAAAGAAGTGTTTAATGGTTGATGAGTTATAGACTGAGGAGAATTTTCAGATGGTACTTCTTTATTTAATTCATTACAAAGATATTTTCCAAAGTCAATAAGAGAAATAAAATTTGAATAAGGTTGAAGATAATGAAACATAGGAATAGAAAATAAGTATGATCTTAATGAAATTAGTTTACTTGTTTCTTTATTTAATATTTCTCCACTTTCTTGAAAAAGATATTCAAATGGATAGTCTTCTTTATTTAATTTAAGTATTTTGTATATTTCTGTTTCTTTATTTTGTTGTAACCATTCCAAGTACTTCATTGAGACAATGAAATTTTGTTAATTTTTTTATTTAAAAATTTTTCTTTTTTTTTTTATGTTTTTGTCATTTTGCTTTTTTTTTTGAAGAACAATCAAAAAAATTTCCTTTAATTTACATGAAAAAGTTGTAAATTAGTATTTTAGGGTATTTACTTTTCACTTAGAGTTATTTTCATCAATTTAAAAAAAGAGAAAAATTGAGATGAAAAGTGAAAAACTAAGAATCAATTTATAATTAAAAGACATAATGGAGTTTGAGATTCCTCAAACAGAATGTGAAAAGGAAAAAGGGTATGGTGGGTTATTAGATTGCAGTATACCAAATGGGTTTGAAAATGATTGTAAGTTATCAGATATAAAAAAAATCACATCATCAATAATTAAAGAAGCATCATTAGACCCTCTTATTTTATACTCAGAACCAAAAAAATATGGATATTTACATTTAGCAGCACAAAAAAAAGTATTATCAAATTCTATTTGTCAAATTGCGATTTCATTAGTTAAATATAACCTTGAATCTTTAAATTCAGACCAATGTAAACAATATAGAAGTACTTTAAAAATGATTATTTATCTAGAAAGTCTTATTGACATTGATCAACTTGTTATTAAGAGTGTCATTGATGTTTTACAATTACCATTTGATAGTATTTTTACATCACCTGATACATTCTTTTTAGATACAATAAGGCAAATAGCAACAAAGGGAATAAAAACAATTGACAGTGAATTTTTAAATAAAGTCTTTATTCAACTAACAAACCTTAATCATATAGAAGGGATTGTTACTGGACTTATACAATTATTAAGTGAAGATAATGATATTGTTAAAATTGCTAACTCCATTCTTCGTAATAATAGTCCAGTATTACAAAAATTTCTTAGACAATTACTTTCTATTGATACCATAAATCCAAAATTACTAAAAAGTATTTCTATCTTATTTCCTTTACTACCTGAGTTAGTTCCTGAAAGTAAATTAAAATTACCGAGTATTCTTCATTGTTTATTAGATCAACAAGAACATATACTTCGTAATGCTGTAATTGAGTGTTATGCTAATATTCTTCTTGATACCCCAAATGATCAGTTATATGATTGTCTTACTGAAAGATTTCATGACATTAATTCATTTGTAAGAGTTAAAGTATTACAAATGTGGCAAATGCTTGTTGAACATAGATGTATCCCACTAGAACGATTTAATAAATTAACTTCTAGTGCTGTTGAACGTTTAAATGACAAGTCAACACCAGTAAGAAAAAATGCAATTTCATTATTACAGGCAATGTTAGTATTTAATCCATATTCAGTTATATTAAGAAGAGACCTTTTTGAATCGAAGTTACAAGAAACTGCTGAAATGTTAAAAGAAAATGTAAAGGAAGAAAGCAAAGATGACAGTGAAGAAGAAGAACAAGAATTTACTGTTCCAGTTAATAAAATTTTAGAGTTATTTGAAGGAACTGGATTTCAACATGTTGCAGATACTGAATTACTTGAAGCTAAAAAACAAGAAGTTTTAAAAAATTTTATTGAATGGTTAAAAAATTCAATTGAATTTATTAGTGTATTTGAAGAGGCTGTTGATTCTGTTGAAAGAATATTGGAATCAACATCAGTGTTAGATCTTAAAGAAGCAATTAAATTCTTTGGAAGTATTTGTCAATACAAAATACCTAAAGGAGCAAGAGCATTAAAGAAAACACTAGAATTATTATTTTCTAAAGAAGTTGATGTTCAAAATGTCATTGTTGAAGCAGTTTCTAAAGCTCTATGTGAAGAATCTCCACAAAATACTGTAAATAATCTATTAATTATGACAAATGGATCAAATATTGGAGAAGAATTATGTATTAAGAAATTAGTTGAATTGCTTATTCAAAAGAAAGTTATTGGACCAACAGAAATTGATTATTTATGGGCATATATGGCTGGTAAATTACCAAGTGGAGGAGATATGGAAGCACTTACTGCATTAACACTATTATCTTTTATTGGAGCTGCAAAACCATCATTAATATTAAACAAAATATCATTATTAAATTCAATTTGCTTCAAAAAAGGACAACTTCCTACATTTATATATAGAGGATGTCAAGTTTTATATCAATTATATGATGAAAAGAATGAGTTAGAAAAGATTAGTGCAAATGATCCAACTATAATTCAAATAATGGATTGTCTTGATGAAACAATGGGGTCAAACACGTGGATTGCTTTATGCCAATTAGTTCTTGACCTTGTTTATAAAGCAGTTGATAATCCAAATGAAATAGGGAAAGAAATTATTTTAAGAAGAGTTGCTGAAGTTGGAAAAAGTTCTAAAGTATCAAACGTTAGTAAATTATTGTCTGCTGTTGGAGGAGTAGCAAGAAAACAAGGAGAGATATATGAAAAAATGAAAGAAGGTGTTGTAGATGAAGTTGAGAAAAAAAAAGGAAAGAAGGGAAAACGAATTAGTGTTGCGTGTGAAAATAAAATTCATGAAGTTGTTGGTGAAGTGTTAGAAGATGGGTTATTAGGAGAGTTTGTACCAATTATAAATGATTATTGCAAAGACATTATTGAAGGAAAATATAATGAAGATAATTTCTTAACATTCCGAGCTGTTGTAGTTAACTCTTTATGTTCTTTTATGATGGTTAGTCAACATTATTGTGAAGAACATCTTCAAGAATTATTTACTATATTAGAAAATACACAAGATGAATGTGTTAGAAGTAATATTGTTTATTATGTTGGAGACTTTGCATGTAGATATCCAAATCTGTTAGAAGGATGGATTAAATATCTTTATGGGCGTTTAAAAGATCCAAGTGCATTAGTTAGGAGAAGTGCAGTTATTGTATTAAGTGAATTAATATTTCATGATATTATTAAGGTAAAAGGGTCAATATATTTGATGGGACTTGCACTTGTTGATGATGAAGAAAGAGTTAGAGATTTGGCTCATACATTTTTCCAAGAATATTCGTCAAAAACAAATGCCATTTATAATGTTCTTCCTGACCTTATTTCATCACTTGGAAATGAGGATATTAGTAGAGAACATTTTAGATATATTATTAAATACGTCTTTTCATTTATTTCAAAAGATAAACAACATGAACAATTAATGAATAAATTATGTTCAAGATTTACTAT